ACTGTATTTATTTGTTTTTCTATTGTACTGTACATCTCTTTAGTTAGGATATTTGAGATATTGTGTTAGAAATTATGATACTGAAATATATTTAGTAAACTTGCATATTTTTATACTTAAACAGCTGGCTGTCATACATAAATGTCATAATACAACTGTATGATTACATGAAGAATTATTTGAAAAGTATGTTTATAACAAATCAAATAAAACATTAGATTTCTTAAATCATCATTTGAAAATAGAAATTTTTATAGAGAATGTACAGTTTTTAGTATGCATTAATTTTATTTTTCACAATACAGTATGAGGGTTTTTTTTGCTTGTTTTGACTTATCTTGAATATGATAAGCACAGTTATATCAAAAAACAAGCTAATCTGCAATTATCTAATGGCTCTATCCATCCAAAAAAAGCGTATTAAAGGATTTTAATATTGGCTATCTGTCATATTACAATGATGTATTAATCTCCCAATAATCTGGGTTGGATACTGAAATTTTTGAATCTGTCTCATTTTATGTTGACTAGGCTGACCACAAGTACCATTTTCACCAAGTCAGTCCTGTTTTTCTCCCACCTCTGTCCTTGCCAGCCTGTTATTTTAGTAAAAGTTTGTTTTCAAAAAATGGGACAAAAGTGAAAAAACTTAGGTATCTAGTTTGTATATTGTATTCTGAACTGGTGATTTGTTAGAAAATGCTGATAAGGGTCATAAATTTGATTGGACCCTACTGAGGAAGAAATAGCATGAAATAGAGCTTACAGAGTAGTATCATATGATATATCATATGAAGAGAAACATCATATGAAGAGAAACAGATTAAATTCAACAATTTGATCAATGGGCATTTTAAGGCAACAATAACCAAACACTTGGAGAAATAGAACAAAGAAAATTCAAAGATGGGTCAAAATATTTAATGAAATGCATAAAAAGGATCTTGAATTTTGAAAATTTAATAATTTGGTAAAGTTAGGCTTTTGTTTTTCAAAAACTTTAGCTTCTGTAGAAAAAATATTTTCACTCGTGAATTCCCTTTAGTTAAAAGAGAAGTCAAAATTAAATATTGAAGATGTGAAAGCACTACTAATTATAAAGCAAAACTGTGATTGGTTTCTTGGTGTTTTTGTGTTGTTTACTTTTAATATTAGAAAATTTATTTTTAATAAAAAAAAAATTTATGTTACTTCGATTACTTATGTTTAGTCCTCGTGACAAACATTGTATAATAAAATTGTCGCAACTATGAATACTGGTAATTTATTTTTTCTTTGTTTCTTCTCCACACAAAAAAATCACAGACTATTTTCATTTCCAGAGACAATTCTTGGCATTACCATGATTTCCAGGACTGTGTCTGGGCCAAATGAAACCAGGATGTATGGTAATCCTATTATATGTACAGTGAAACCTGCACTGAAGGGACCAGCTCAAAGTGGTCATCTTACACAGGTGGTCACATTAGCAGGTTTCACTGTAAATGTGTGTTAAGTTGTTAAGTCATGGTTTCAATAAAATATTGTTTAGTGGCATGGCATGACTTTCAAAGTTGCTGGTGCACTTTGTCTCAGTCCTTAGCAATATGAAGGAAGTCTTTATATTGAAGTTTTTGAAATGTTTTTTACTGGGAAAAAATTAAAATATTTGAAAATTAGTTTGAAGACAGTCTGTCCAAAACTGGGAACCACCATTTATTCACTTCAAGTGTTCCAGAATACAAAAATTTGATGACATGACCTTTCTTTTTAGGCTGCTTGGTTGTCAAATTTTAACGTATGTTTTTAAAATTTGACAACCAAGCAGCCTAAAAATAAAGGTCATGTCATCAAATGTTTGTATTCTGGAACACTAGAAGTGAATAAATGGTGGTTCCCAGTTTTGGACAGACTGTGTCTTCAAATTAATTTTCATAGAATTGCCATCTGACAAAATTCTACAATAAAAATATTGTTTGTTTCCACTTATAAATGTTTATGAAATAATGATTGTGATCATTTTTATATGTTGATATAGTTTAAATATTTTGATGAATGGCTGACGAACAGAGCTAAAATATCACTTTTTTTAAAAATTAAAAATGTATTAATGCAATGTTATAAAGATTTTTATCAGTGATAAGCAACCTTTTCTGGATCTGGGCTGCAATAGATTTTAAGCCTGCTGAGTACAAACATACATCATAACTGCCAATATACTAGGTATTAAAATAATATTGTATATGCTAATGACATAAAATTAGAATAAATTCTTTATTACTAGTTTGTACGTCATTAGTCAAATTTAGTTTGAATGTTCTTTGTCATAAATAAGAGTCCAATTAGAGTTGCACAATGGTAGAGAACAGGAAAGTAAAATTACATTGCCAAAACTCATGGGTTGCATATTAGGGTCTTGCAGGCTGCAGGTTACTCATGACTGATTTATATGAATTAAAGTTTATGTTTTGGATAAACAAAAAAAAGTTAAACATGTCTCTATATAAATAAAAATATCTGAAGAACATTAAAACTAAAAATCCATCGTTTTTTAAAAATCTTTTTAATCTCAAACTTGTAAGTAGAGATCAAATTTTATAGCCATGAAAAAGAAGCAGTAAAAATTTCAATAGCACATTCAAAAACAAATTGTTATTGTTAACATATTAGAAAGCACTGAATAATTAAGCCCAGTAAATAATCACTATCCAATCACTGACAGAAAGTCATGAAATATCATTTACTGGTACAAAATATCTAAAAATTACTTTTGTTCATTCTCTGGCATAATTTTAGTTGTGATTTGATGCATTAACTTAGAATTCCCATGAATGACCTATGATAGTCATTTATTGATAGTCCTCCCAAGCTCATTGTCATTTGTTTTTTCTAAGATGGATTACATAAAAAAAACAATCAAGATTTTTTTTCTTTCCATATCAAAATCTTATGAAAACATAATAAAAAATAAAGTACAGTAATAGCACATTTTATTGTGCCTNATTAATTATTTTAAATATACTTTTTTAAAATAAAATTTGTTAATAATTTAAAAATTTATTAAAAATAATCATCTAGTTAGAGTTGATATTTGAACTTATCAAAAAATTCGTTTCCTTTTTCTGCACAAACTATCATTTTGAAATTAATATCTCAAAATGATAATTTGTGTAAGCTGTTATAAGTATAATATTTCAGAAATTTTTTTTATTATGGTATAATTAATTTTGATTTAATTTATAACTATTATACATGATTGCTTCTTGTTCTTTCTACATTTATTGGGAGAAAAAGCACAAAATTGCTGTGCTGTTATCACACAGGAACACACATGATGAAGAGAATAGATTTTATTTTGTATCACCCATTATTTTTGTACAAAGGGGCAGATATGCATTTTGGGCTATTTGCCCCCTCAGTTCTTTTTGTACAGTTATAAATATTGCATAATAAATTACATTAAACGTAATGTATGTTTATATTACACATGTTATTTATATTATATTATACATATATATTATAACTATTATATTTGATTTTTATATATTAATATTACAGTATCAAACTTTTTATTATGTGAAAAATTAGTGCTTGAATAAGAAAATACGAGAAGTTACTTTATCATAATTTTGTTTTTGGAATTTTGATTTACATTTATAACTAAATTTTTATTATTAATGAAATCTGAATAATGATGCATTTATGAATTCATTTTATTGATATCACCCTACAAAATGTTAATATTAAGATGTGATAGATGATTAACATTTTAATATTTCAAATTATTTTTGTTTTAAAAATATTGTATAACTGCTACTATAATAAATCAAAAATCTTCTACTCTGAATACCGGTATTCTAATAAAATTGCACTTACTAAACCTTTATTATCCGGTACTTGTAAATTATTCATAAGAACAAACGTTTTCGGCCTCAGTCGAGGCCTGCTTCAGGTTAAAATACTTGGATTCCATTTTTTAGAATGAACGTTTAGTTTTCAAATATAATCGAATTCATGCGCGTACTTCTATAATAATAATCCTACAAAATCTATAAATTCTAATAATTTAGTTTTAAATCTTAATGTTTTTATTTATATTTTTAAAATTTATATAAGAAAAATATTAAAATATTAAATTTTAAAGTACTGTACATAATTTCTCTCTGAATTCAAGAAATTAAAATTTGAAAAAAATAAAAAATAAATATAATAAAATTATTTGCTATTAAAATTTAACAAGGAATTTAATAGAAATGTGTTATTAAACTAAAATTCTCTAAAATAAAATTTAAAATAATTGTTAAATGTTAAATAATTGTTAAATATTATCAAAGAAATATTTTAACTTTTATTTTGAAAATATAATTAATAAAACATTTAGTATAGATATAAATAAATTTCAACTGATTATCAAATTAAGTGTTTTTATCTAATTTCATAGACATTACTGAAAATATTCAAAAACTTTTTATAAAAGAATAATCTTACTTAAGCCTTTATTTTAATAGATCTATCTGAAGAACAAATTTTACAACAAAAGATAGCTGAATTACAAGAAAGATTGAGACATGCTGAAATGTTAAATATTGAAAGGAGAAGAGATATATTAGCACTTCGTGAAAATATTGGAATGCTAATACAGCTTGCAGATCAACCACATCGCAACAATACAAATTTTACTCATCATTTGGGTCGTGAAACATTATGGAGAGAGAATCTCCTAATGAACTCGAGATCATTAGATTTACAACTTCCATCCATTCATCATTTTTTGCCCCATTTATTAAGTAATCCTGATGGTTTACAACCTTCCTTCAAACTTTCAAGAGGTCGTACCGGAGGTATTTATTAAAATTTTATATTTTGTGTAGAATGTATTTTCAGAAATTCACTAACAATTTTTATAGTAAACAAAAGAAAATAAGGATTTTTTATATTATCATTACTTTTAACAGTTAAAATAAAATAATAAAATTTCAAGATTCATTTTATTGGTTTTACTTCAATATTGAAAATTTTCAGTAATTTTTCTACTAATTTGTTCTAATACAAAATTTTAGAATAAAATACAGTGGAACCTTGGTTAACGAACATCCTGGTTAACAACCAAATCGGTTAACGAACTTTTATTTTGCAAAAATTTTGTTTCGGATAACGAACGTAACAGCTTTTTGTGTCAAATTTGTAAGCTTGCCAACTTTTAGGGAAAATCAGTTAATCATGTATCAGTGATGTCTAGGGTCCATTCGTACATTGGTGGTGGCGGAGGAGACAAAGATGACAAGTATTTTACAGTGAAAATCGTTCATTAGAACGGGAAGATACTTACATATTTGAGGTAGTTGGAAATGGCTTATCTACAGTATTTTCTTTCGGCACTGAGGAGTGGCGTATCGCTGGTCCTACAATAGTGCAAACTGATCAGTCGTAGCCCCAGAGCAGACGAGATGGGTTCGCTTGGTCACAGAAGCGATGGTAGGTGACAGAGCTGCAACGACTTGGAGCGGTCCGCAAGACACAAGACAAATTTTAGCGGGCACAACTTCAGGCTTAATCCAGATGAAGACGACACAGATTAATCACCGTAGAATTTTTAGGTAAACTGCATTTTGACCTTGAGATTCAGGGGGATTTTATAGTATTTTTTCCTTGAATCTCACCTTACGATTAGTCCTGCGTCCCATTCCTTGCTTCCCGATTGTTTTCTTTTTTGTCTCCAGGTGAAAACCGAAACCAGATCAGGTCACGAGAAAGGTTTGTTCCAAGGCTTTTATTTGACATCTGTTCGTCAACTGTGATCAGAGATTGTTGATAAACCTATAAGCCTTTGCTCATAATTTAGCCTATTGTGTCTGCTATCTGTCATTTTAAAACGTTAACAATCGTATGTGATGTTTTTATACCCGTCAAATCTTTCCCCTTTTCCAAAAATTTACCTAGATCGACTGTTTATGAGCACGTTTTCCTATATTTTCATTTTAAAAAAAAACCCCATTTTACAAATAAAATTACAAAAATACTGACGGCTAGAACGGATTAATTGTATTTGCATTAATTTCTATGGGAAAAATTGCTTCGGTTAACGAATAGACTTGTGGAACAGATTACGTTCATTAACCGGGGTTCCACTGTATTTCATTGTACAGGGCAGTGGCATAGCGGTGGCCCAGAGTGTCAGCCACCTGGGGCGGAGGAAAATTTCGCTGCCCCTTTATTTAGATATCTCAATTTAAAAGACTAAAATTTAGTTTTGTCACAGAATAAGTAATGAAAAATTCCGTGCTCATTTTAATCAGTCCAAATTGTAGGTGCGACAAAAATATGAAATGAAATGGTTCAAATTTTTACAAGATATTATTATTATTATTTATTGTGAAATTTTGTCGCCCCCTAAAAGTGCTGCTTGGGGCGGGCCGCCCCACTACGCTATGCCACTGGTACAGGGTGTTCAGATTACCATACCATGTTTTTCTTGAAAATTGGAATAAGGTAGAAAATTTTTTTATAGCCAATGTCAATATGAAGAATAAATTGGTAACATTATCATCAGTTGGGATCCAGAAGAAATAGGACTAATTGTCTTAACTCTGAATTTGTATATTAGAAAAAGGGTTGAGTTGGATACTGTTGGTTAGAGTTTTTATTGTAAGAAGCAACATTTGTTAGAAAATTTTTTCATCATCTATCATTTACAAAATAAACTAAACTTTTATTTCACTGTATATTACTGTAAGTCATATTGCAGCCTCCAGTCTTTGTGTGTATTTGTTTTTGGTAATTTCTCAAATATTCATTTATACATGATAAGTCAAAAAGGTCTCCCTTATTTTAAAAATCATTACACATGTATTGCTGAAGATACCTTGATGAACATGAAACAGTATATGTAGAAACTGAAGGTTTTGGGTCCCTACAGATGCTCAGTATATGCACTATGGGTGACTTGGCACACATAGGTTGTAATCTAATTCCTACCATGTGAAGCTTGGATGGTCTCCACAGCATTGACAATGCATTTCTTCAGCTCTGTTATGTCAGAAGACAATGGGGTACACAGTGTCATGATGTTTTCTGCCAATATGGAGGCAGCAAAAACAAGTGTTTCACACAGAAAATCGTTTATTCTTGTCGAAAATGCTTACATATTTTTTTAGCAAAGGTCCTTAGATTCAGAACTTTAAGATGTCTTCAGATTTGATCTGGTCCTGCATTGTAGGCATTTTTGGTTTTCTGTGTCGTAGGGGCCCTGGACAGTGTTGAGTAAAAAGTTTGAAGACACAAAAGATGAAAGGAAGCACTACAGCTGGAGGCAAACAAACACAATAGGTAGTCTAGGTGGAAGCCTCTTTGGTCCTTGAAATCGGTGTTTTTATAAGTTTTTCGAGATCAACTTGTTGCTAATTGGACAAACTTTACCTCATCGCTTTCTAATTGGTTTTCCACCTGTCTCCAGTGTAAATGGAGCTTCAGATAGTTCACGGGAAAGGTCGGCTGGAGATGGTTTATCCAACACCATCTTTTAGATTCTGGTCACGTTTAATCGTTGACTATGACACCTATGCTCATTTTGATATTTTTTCTAGTTTTGTTTTCTTTCTAAACTGTGTCTTAACTTTAATATTTTAAATTTTCTTTTTCTATATCTAAAATTTGGTTTTTCTGTCTACTCTTGATGAGTGTTGACGTCAAAGTCTGGTGTCGCCAGTTCAACACTTATATTTCGAGATAAAAAAATTATATAACTTAACAAATTTTTACATATCTTTCTTTTTTTCGGGGGAGGGGGCTATTTCCAGGGCCTCACACATGCACAAATTGTCTGTCAGTGAGTGCTTCGTATATATGATGAGAAAACTATGCTGAATGGTGATAACAGACTTTCTAGCATGGAACTCTAATACACAAAACACTTTCTCTGCTGCAGTGGTTGCATTTTTACTGTATTCTACCTGACAGCAATTTAATGTAACTACATCTGGTGGGAAAGTTAATGTGCAGTGTTGGTCATATAAGTCCATTAACTATAGGGTACCGGTTTTTCAAAATTGGGAAGACCTTTTTGACTTACCCTGTACATTTTGAGCAATCAGAACTTATTTTTAAAAACATCCAGCAACGAGTTGCTTAACTTTCCCTGCAACATTTAAAACTGTGTTTGTTGTATTTTATTTTTAAAAATTGTCTATGTTTTTAATTATTATAAAATGGCAAAAAGCGTAATTTTGAAGATAGTGATGGTTTTATAAAAGACCAGCAGATGAGCCCGGCATTGTCCGGGCAAAAATAACAACAAAGGTTAAGATTATTAGATTATTTCATACTTCTAATTCCTCTATTATATTACACAAGTTCGGACATGTGCACTCTGTATCTTGCTGACCATGCGATTGCGCCACGCGGTTACCTATCTCATATACGTACGCGTCTTGCCCCTCGCCACCTGCTGACACCAAAAATATAATGCTTACCTAGATGATATCTTTTAATTTATATGAATGTTTAACAGAATAATATACAGCCTATGTCTATTCTAAATATTGGTGAAAGAATTTTTGAAATCGGGTGAATAGTTTCAGAGATTACCTCCTACATTCAAACTTATAAACTTTACCTCTTTATAATATTAGTATAGATTGTAAATGCTAATCACGAGTAAAATCATCATTAAGTCCAACTCTACTTGATATGACACAAGACCCTCCTTTATCTCCCCCCACCAAAATTTAATAGCATCAATCCCCCTAATACACAAACCTCCCTGCAAAATTTTAGAAATTTTCAACAAAAAGCACAGAAGTTATTAAGCTTCAAAGAGTGAACAAAATCATGCTTCCCCATACAAAGATCTATACATACAGAAAAACCCCAAATTTTTTGTTTTATCAACAGTTTTATTAAAAATTTATTGGAAAGTTAAATAGAACGATATAAATTACATTTATTGTATTTTTTTAAAAATTGATAATATCACTTATAACATTTTACACAGAAAAGTCATTTTTGTAAATATTTATTTTAAATAAATAATTAATGTTTTAAAATGCTTTTTTTAATAATTTCATATTTTTACATGTGTAATTTACACAAAGTGCAATATATATTATAGCATAATTAAGATTCTAATACAATTGAAATTATAACTTTTTTGTGTTTTTTAGTTCATTTGGAATTTGTTTATGTAAAATTATAACTATAGAAGGTAAGTTTTTTCTGAAATAATCTGAATGCAATCCATCAGATAATAATAAAATACTTGACATAAAATTTTAGCGTTAGGCTCAGTAGGAGTTTTTATGTCTTTCTGTATTTACTCTGTGGTCAAAATTAGTTGGTCTTATATATGCTGGGTCCCAACTGACAACAATGTTGCCAATTGATTTTTCATACAGATTTTGATTATAAAAAATTTTTTCACAACCTTCTACAATGAATGATTTTCAAGAAAAATGTATGTTGTAGATGGTCTGAAACACACTGTATAAAACCTTCAAAATTCCAATCAACACTCAAAATAACAAGAAATTATACTTTATTAAAGTAAACCTTGTAAACATTTGAAACGCATAAATACTTTCAAGCCTTTCTCACTCATTGTCATTGGTGTAAATGCTTTTAAAAGTAACACTAAATGCTGCATACTCTAAGATTTCAAATATAACAAAATCTGTTTAAAATGGGCATTTACAAAACAGAAACCTGTCTGAATGAAAAATAAATCTTGAAATGGAACTATTTGCTATAAATAAGCCAGAAACCTGGCTAACACAGAAATGAAGGATTTTTTGGGTACCAACTACATAAAATAACCTAAATAAAGCAGAATTTTTGGCATAATAGTACTAAAATTCTAAACCATGAACTGATTTTGCAAACTATAGCAAATTATTTAAATTGTATCGTTGTTCTACAGGAAATTATCCTTTTGTTGATATTATAATCACTTACTACCATTATCAAGAATATTTATACTAATAAGTTTTGTTTGGTTCTAGTGCCTCTTCCTTGTTACGTAACTTTTTTTGTCATTGGCTATATACACAATGACATATATCCAAATATTGGCACATCTCTATAATTATAACTATGTAATTACTATAATATAGTATTAGGATATTTAAATATTTTAAAATATAAATAAATATATATATATAATTGTTAAACTCTTGTTATAATTTATATATAGTAGTATATATAGTTATAATATAATATATATATGTTACTGTGAATGACCGATATCTGGTGAATGTCAACATTCTCCGGTGAATGTTAGCATTCACACAGTCATTTCATGTATGTACGAAATATTTGCTAAATATCATTATTTCTCACTTAAACCGGCAAATGTCAACATTCAGCATGCACTGATGGTGAATGTTGAATAAAAATATTTTTATTATGTTAAGACAAAAATGCAACATTTTAATATGTGAAAATAGGAGAAAGCTTAAGTAACAGCACATGTAAATAAACTGTTGAACCTAAAACGAACAGTACATTCTAAATCATTAAAGATAATAATACAATAATAAACTTACACATAAATTATGTGATTAACGTTATACAATCTTATTTATTGAACAACATAAACTGTTATGGCACTTTGAATTGCACAAGAGTCCCTTGCTTTTACAACTGCATTTATTCGTGGAACACTTTTTTTGCAATGACAGCATGTACAGCCTTGTCCTCCACTTTTCGAATTAGCTGCAGCTGCTTCTCTAGCAATATTTCTTGAGAAGAAATCTCATCTATGGAAAGTAACTTTTCTTTACAAATTACGAACTGATTACGTTATTACGTGATTACAAACTGATCTGTTAATAGTGTCTTTTATTCAGATATCACTGACACCTTACTGACAACCCCTCTCATCCTCCGCCACTCGACCTGACAAACCGATCCCTATCTCACAGGATCAAAAGAACAAAAACTCTATCCAGTGACAAAGTGGGCAGTTTCCACCAAACTGTTGCCAGAAAAAGAGGTACGACCGTGTTCTACCTCTGGCTATCCACAAAGTATTTGGCGACAGATTGTCGCCTCTCTGTCAACATCGGCTTTTCGGGTGTCGTTTTGACCTACACCAAAGTTTATCTGTGTTTGTCACATACACCGGCGATTGTTCGAATGCATAATAATATAACCAAATATTTGGATTTTCTCCGACTTATTTTGTATGTGTCAACATTCACCGAAGAATATCGACATTCTCTAATTTCGGTCTTTCACAGTAACATATATATATATAGTTATAGTTATAATTGTGAAATATTTGAAAGTAATTTTTTTAAACATTAAAATTTAAAAAATTTTTTTAGCTACTGTTGTTTTAGGTGTTCCTACTGTGAAGAGAGATGTACAAAGTTACTTGATATCAACACTTCAAAATTTAATTGATAATATGACTCCAGAAGAACAGGAAGAAACATTGATAATTGTATTTATTGCTGAGGTAGATAAATTCTTAGTATTTGAATACATTTAAATTCTTGATTTAAAAAAATATTTATTTTAAATGTTAATTAATTTTTAAATAGAATATTTTATAATTTATTATAAAGCAATTTACATATTTACCAGTAGTTTTTTTAACAGTCTAATAAGTGTAATAGTATTTTAATTATATTCTAAATATAAGTTGTTATACAGTAGATAGAATCAATCACTTTTTAAACCAGTACAATATTTTCATCTTCATGATGCTCACAACAAATTTTGAACAATCAAACAACATTTTATTTAAATACATAATGTTCTATAAAGTTTATAAATGTTTACAAATAAAAATAAGCTATTTTACATATACAGAACATTTTTAAGTATAAAAACCATAAGACTAATTGTATTTATGCACATATAAATAAAAATTTTCACTTTCCATTCCCATTTTTTTACATCCCTATATAGTTTTTTTCAGGCAGCAAGGAAAACTTCAACATCTCTTGCATTTATACATCTACCTTTGATAACTTGCTCCTGTTTTTCTATTTTTCAGTAATTTTTGTGAGAATTTGTACAGCTTATCAAATCAAAGTTAATCATTGTACTTCAGAATCTGTAATTGCTAATACAGTAGACCCTCCTATAACACAGTAGATAATTCCGTGTTGTACGAGTCACTTAGATTTTACAAATACATGTGCCGGGCTGTGAATGGTTCACGTATTTGTAAAATCTAAGTGACTCGTACAACATGGAATTCATATAACATGGAATTATCTACCGTGTTATAGGGGGAGGATCTACTATAAAAGTCTCCTTCAAGGTGAACCACTTAGCCCCATTCTTTTTAATCTATTTGTCAACAATCTTCCAGATTTCTTTCACAGTTATAACAGTATGGGTCTATCACTATTGATTGAATTGAATTCTCTTTTGTTTGCTGATATTGCAGTACTTTCTTATACTGCTATTGGTCTTTAGCAGAAACTTAATCTTTTACAGGATTATTGTTGGACTAATACATTACATATTAATAATGCTAAATCTAAGGTAATGATTTTTCAGAGAGGTGCTAAGTTGGGAAAGGCTGATAAATTCTGCAGTAGAGCATTGATTATCCAAATGCCGATCAACCTAAACGTCAGTTAACCAAAAGCGTTCCAGTCGGACTGTGTTGTGCTGAATCAAACGTTTTTGATACTAGATTAACTTCTAAAGTATAATTTTTTTTTGTTTTTATATTTTTCAATATATTTATTTTGCTTGTACAAAATAAAGAAATAATTTTTAACGATACAATAGCAACGATTATTTTTTTAAAAAATTTGTTAGGCTTAACATCGATGAAAATTCAACGTGAAGTATGTTAATAGCAATATACTAATATACTAATAATGTATTTTTTCATTCTTTTCGATTATCCAATTTTTTCAGTTATCCGACCAACCTGAGTCCCCAATTGAGTCGGATAATCGATGCTCTACTGTATTAGTACACACACACAGCCTATCAGATGTTATTTGCTGATATGACCTGTAAACATCATGTTTTCCTGAGACTGGAATATTTAGACGTTTGTTTAAGATATAGCTGTTCCAAAGTAGGGCTGCATTTTGCAGCATATAGCTGTTGATTCTATACAGCTTTTAATTCTTCAAATGATTATCTAGGTTCCTTAGAATGACTCCTAGTGTTCCTACTACAGTTTGATCTATAACTATCTTTCTTTTTCCAGTCATTCAAATTTGATTTGCAGATGCTTATACTTAATGACTTACTAATTGTTTTCCTTTGACCCTGCTGTCACTCAAGACTACCACTCTATAATCCTTATCTTTATTTTCTGTTAATGTAATGTCTGGGATCTATGAGCCAGATGTTTATCTGCCTGGATTTGAAAATTGCAGTAATTTTTTCCATTTCTGTGATCATATCAAGTTAAGCTATATGTATTTTTGCAAAGATTTCAGTGAATCATTGCTGTGTTTGTTGTTTGAGATATTTTTAAGTTGTGTATAATATAGCATTAATATTTTGGTTAGTATGTTTGATTGAGCTGAAATTTGAATAAATTGTAAATATATAAATTCCCACTGTTATCTGTCTGTCCTTTCTTAATCTTGAGAACAGTGTTAGATAATGAAATTTAAGACCAGATATGGAAAGCTTAGGGGAAGGAGGTCTCAATTAACTATATGCGAACTTCTGATGCAAACTGGAAATCACGTTATTTCAATTAAAAAATTTTCCTCTGAAAGGAGTTAGTACTGTAGTGTCTTGCTCCTGTACATCACACCTCAAATTAGTTAGATAAACAGCTTGATTCCAGTCAAGCTGTTTATCTAATTAATTTGAGGTGGAGAGTATATATTTTAAATGAAATAAATTAAAATATAATTAAAAATTGCAGCCTGGCATTGTGACAATGCCAAATAAATAATTGCTTATTTAAACTGTAGAAATTAAAAAATGTGTGTTAAAACTTTCATAAAATCATGATTTTTAAAAAATAGTTTATTTCTAAGCAGGATAATAATTTGCTTAGAAAACTTGAAATTCTCAATTTTGTTATGAAAAATTACAAAATTTTAAACTTTTACAGGTTGAATGCAATAAGAATGATGGCTGTAGACTAATCATTGATATAAAAATTACCAAACCATGCTGATTGATATTCAGGAGTGCCTCATACTTTGAATTTAATTCATTCCAGGAGGTTGTTCAAAGTCCGATGCAATTTTTCCTGTTAAAAATANACAAACAACAATAAATTTAATAAAACCAAAGAAAATAAAAACTAATACAAAATACTAATGAACGAGAGATATAACTACTACAAATAAGATACAAATTGAGAGATATATGGACTCATATTATACCCGATGCGCGATCGAGAGAGAGAGCTCACAAAATCGTTAGAAACATACAACCTGTTCTAGTTGTTGTTCGTCTTCTTCTCTGTATGTAAGGGACACTTCGAAGATAAAGTTCATTTACTTCTTTCCATGGGAGATCAATATGTGCACAGAGTCAAAGTATAACTTCTAAGTGTTGACTCGGGAATTCTTCTATGTGACTCGTCGAAGGGCGTTGGTCATCAGGAGGGAAATGTGTGGAGTTTGGACACTTCCAGCACTGTCACTGAACTCCCCGAATTCTGACAAATTTCCTCTATATGTCACGATCGCCGATCAATCATCATGCAAAGATTCCTCCGTGAGAACAAATGGAAAGGGGGATATGTGAGGGGTAAACATTTCCCATCAAAGCGAGAGTTTTCGCAGATAAGGGAAAAACAGAGGATGTTCTAACTTCTGTGAAAGGAAGTAACATCTGTTATCTATTTTTCCCACTCTAAAACGTCATTTTTCTCACTCAAACGAAGTAATATTTTATAACAAAATATTAACATTATTAATAAAATTACTGTTTTAGCCCAGGGGCCTTTCGGGTCTCACATATATTAATAATGTATTTTTTTTGTACATAATCTGTTATCCGAAAAATCGATTTTTCGAACAACCATAGTCCCCAATTGATTCGGATAATCGACGCTCTACTGTATTTATTTAATTCTAAATTGGAAGTGATGTCCTCCTATAAATATTTGGGTATTTATTTTTCTCCACAGAGCTTGTTTTCTTTACATTTAAACAAAATAATTACGAAATTTAAACTTAAACTTGCTAATTAATAAAGCTAATGATTAAAATGAAACAATTTTCTGTTAAGTCATATTATTGATTGTTTGATTCCTTGATCATATCAAGTTTGGGTTTTATGTTTCCTGTTCTATGTCTTATTGATGAACTGGAGAAGACACAATTGAGATTCATTAGATTGATTTTTCATCTTAATTGTTTGGTACCTGGACCTGTTTTGAGATTTGAATTGGGTAGACTGCAGTTAGCTATAAGTTAAATCAATAATGAAAAATAGCCATAGTTAAAGATTCTAGAACTGCCAGTCTCAGAAGATTGGTTTATAATAAATTAAAATTAGTAAGTATTAATTCTTCAGTTACAATGTTGTTTTCTTTGGTGAAGTGTTTATTGTCTAATTTGGGGTTTTCCATTATTTATTCTACTCATTTTCTGATAATAGGATTTTGTTGGTCAAACTTCAACAGTCTTTGAGAGAGAAATATTGAGCTCAAGATAGTCTTTATATAGAGCAGAAGTATAGTTTGTTGAAAAATTATTTATCCTTTCCATGAACACCTGAAAGATATTTGTTGTTAAATTTAAATTATAAGATTATATCTTTGATGATACAACTACAGCTTAACAAATATACTGTTTTTTAAATGGTTGTAGAATTAATGTAACACCTTGTTCTAATTGTTTCTTTTGTAATCTTTATTTTTAAAATGTTAAAAATCATTTGTTTGTTTCTTGTGAATGTACTGAACATTTAATATTAAAATCAGTTAGCACAAAATTATTTTTTAATTCTTTACATAATCCTAATTTAAGTTCTGTAACATTATTTAAACTGTATAAATATGTTACAATAGTTTCTAAATTTCAACTCATATATAATTGTACCTGAATAATAATAATCATTATAGTATATATAATTATGTTGTTTTTAAAGTTTTTTGTACTCCTTCTTTGTAAAAGCGAAAAGCCATATCAAATAAATGATTGATTGATTACCTATATATAATATACAAAGCTAAACCACCTATTTTTTATTTTTAGTCAATCTTGGGTTTCCCCCAAAAGTAAAAGAGGTCGCATATGGGAGGTGGGCACAAAACTGAGTCATTTATAATTTTTATTTCATCATACACTATTACAAGATTTTCAACAATTTACAAAGACAAGAAGGATGTTTATTCAAAATTTAAGCAAGTAAACTAAAGACTAAGTTTCAAAAATAGTGTTTTAATGATAAAATTAATAGTTTATCAAAAAAAATTTTTTTGGAATTAATAATTTGATTTAGCAAATCAAATTGATCAATTTGAATATCAAAGATACTCACAGAATGTCTTTAACATTTGAAGTAATTTAGCCTGATGAAGTCTTTTAAATAAGATCACATTTTAGTTATTAAAATTTTGTTCTGGATTTTATGGTTGTTTACAATTTCGTTAATGAATGCAAGTTTTTGAAAAAGTTGCCAGCATCCTAATGCTCTTTTTACTGTAAAGAAATTATATTTCATTGGTTAGTAGCAATCATAATAGCATTCCTGGAAACAGAACAAAGAAAGCAGCTCCATGTGGCAAATAAATTGCATTTGAACTAACTATTGCATGACTATGCTTGTGGAAATGGCCACATATCAGATGCTGATTTGTATGAAGGGATCAAAATAATATGGCCACTAATTGGAGGTGTTCACAAAATAGAGGTCTATGTCCCATCTAAATCAATGGAAATATTTTAGGAATTTTTTTTTAATGATCACAAAGGGATGGTGGTAAATATATAGCTTTTTTCTTCCTGTCATCTTGGTTTTGGTTATGCAGAATTATTTGTTTTAATGTTTAACATATTCTGATTGTTACCTTACTTTCAGAACATGACTATAGTATGTATGATTTAATGATTATCAAAAATTACCTTTTGATGTTTTTGTCAAGAGTTTTAAGCTAGTTTTGCTGTGATTTTGCTGGATATAACTTCAAATTTATATTATTCTATTATTAAATGTGACTTAGTTTGTTGTATAGCTGGAAAACATTGATTTGATAATCTTAAATTGAAAAATATCAATAAGTGAATTATCTGAATGCTTATGTACTGTAATTTAGTACTTGTTCAGGAAAAATAAGAATAAAAATTTACTTATAATAACAATTGTGTGTGTTTGTTATTTTTATTTTTGTAATGTTGAATCTATTCCATTAATTCTATATTGCATTCAAATGATTTTAGTGAAATTTCTATTTAACATTTTTTGCAGATCTAATTACAGATATAACAATATTGGATAATAGTGAATAGAAGTTTTTAAATAATACTATATTGTAGTCTTTTAATGTAGCTTTTATAATATTAGATCTATTCAAAATTATGCAAAAATGAATGTTCTTTTAAATGAGACTATTCAGAAGAGAGATACATCTCTTCTGAATAGCCTGGAACTGTTTAAAAAGTAGCATTTAATGTTTTTATATATTATAGTAGTGATTATTACTGAAAGAAACTCTGAATTACTGGAACCTTAATATTATATTGCAGTGACAAATATAAACTCAACTCATAAAATAATTAGCTTGTTAAATATCTGATTGATAGAAATAAAATTTGTTATACAGATTTGTTATACAATAATTTTTATTTAGTAATATTAGCAAAATTAATTGGAAAAATGTATGATTTCCCTTGTATCTTCTACATCATTAAGATATTATTACTTAAGGATAGATTAATATTTTGCTACATAGTTTAATTGAATCTTTATTATATTTAATTATTTTCCGCATATCAGTATCAAATATACAAATGTGTGTAAAAATGTATGTAAAAACATATTACACTCAAAAATATTTTATCAAATTTGAAATTAATGATGATTAGACTATATGTATTAGTTTTTAACATATTTTTATATTTAATTTTTGCAGACAGACTATGATTATGTTCAAAAACAGGCAACAGAAATTGAAGAAGAGTAAGTCTAAATTAATATATTTAAGTCAAAGTTTAAACTGTAGTCATGATCATATTTATTTTATTATTACAACAACAAAAAAGTGATTAAAGATTTTTCATTTAATGCACTATACAGGGTGCATAGGAAAGTCCCTTTAACTGGAAAATTCTTGCGAATGGAGAGAGCTACAGCTATACAAGTGAGGTAATGATATAGTAAAGCGACTATGCCCGACCTAATGCAAACGACAGCAGCGTCCATAGTGGCAAAATTTGGAAGATAGGCAGTCAAATCGAAAACGAAAACAGATAGAGCAAACTTTCCAATTATAAAGTTTTAGAGCATCAATTAATTAGTACGAAGCGATATGTGGTTCACACGGATAAGATAAATTGTCGCCTGTACACCCAAAAATATCCGAAAGCAATGCACGCCATTTTGTGTAAACGTTTGAAAAGAATAGCCATAGGTATGAAGAAATACGCACAATTTATTGCATAAAATTATGTACTTACGTCAATACAGTTTGATAACATCGCACAAAAAACAACGGAAAGGCAAACTGTCACACAGTGATAACAAGTTAATGTCGAGTATGTTCAAAAAGTTTGCCATTGCTCACGATACACACCATTGTTATCAAACTGTATTGACGTAAGTACGTATTTTATGCAATAAATTGTGCGTATTTCTTCATACCTATGGCTATTCCTTTCAAATGTTTACACAAAATGGCGTGCATCACTTTCAGACATTTTTGGGTGTACAGGCGACAATTTATCTTATCTGTGTGAACCACGTGTCGTTTCGTACTAATTAATTGATGCTCTAAAACTTTCTAATTGGAAAGTTTGCTCTATCTGTTTTCGTTTTCAATTTGCACTGCCTATCTTCCAAATTTTGCCACTATGGACGCTGCTGTCGTTTGCATTAGGTCGGGCATAATCACTTTACTATATCATTACCTCACTTTCATAGCTGTAGCTCTCTCCGTTCGCAAGAACTTTCTGGTTAAAGGGACTTTTCTATGCACCCTATATATATATATATCAAGGCTATGAGTTAGAGTTGATGTCTTGTCTCTGATTCTGATCTTAATACAAAAAAAATCTTATGAAGATTACAGTTACTGTTTTAACATTTTTGCACTGTGTGATATTTTTTCCTTAATATTACTGTTATAACCAATTTGGCCCTATATGTAGGCATTATGTGCCATCTCTTATTAAATTTAATGAGAGATGGCAGCTTTATTGTAAATAAGAATTTTCTAAATTAGTCTGAAAATTTATTAAATAAACTAAAAACAACTAATAAGAATGATTGAACTAATGAGTTTGGTCTAAAAGTAAGCTATGAGATAGGAATAAATGTATATACCATACAAATATAACACATACCAAACTGGAACAAAATTACAGCCTGCTGAATGCTATAGATGGACTATACAGTGGATTTCACTCACTGTGCAATAGTTACATCTATCAATTAGTTTGATATTAATTCCAGACATAAAGATAATTATATCTGAAAGAGGAGATTTAATGGATGTTGAATAGTGTAATTGGTATATATCTGCATAGTAAGCAGAAGTTAAATTTGAATCCTACTCTGAACATATCTTCTCAGAATTTCCTAAAATTTATTTAATTTTCTAATTATTAAAGTTGTAATATTAATACCAGATAGATAATTAGGCCACTATCTGTATATCAAATTTGTTAATTATTCTTATTAAAGTTTAAAAATAAACTGATTGATTAAGCTTAAATATTTTTAAATGAAATAAAATAAATTTTGAATTAGAATTAGTGGAAATGATAGGTATCAATATGTTTGTTCATCTTTGATATACTATGATATATTTAAAAAATATACTATATTTAGTTGAAATAATAATAAGAAACTTCAATATGTTAATTTATTGTCAGTATAGCATAGAATGATGTGTCATTAGGAATTAAGTATCAAATTTTTAAATTAAATTTTATATCTAAAAAAATTTATGGTGTAGTTTACAAGTCCACAGAATTTAGCATTATATAATTACACTATTATTACACACTAAACAACTTATCGTTTGCTTTTGCTCCTTAATTAACATGATTTGAACTTTGAAAAACAATATCAAAATAACTTTAACATTACAGTTGAGGATAACTATATTTTGTCACTTGCCATGACAGAGAGAAACAGATAAAGAAACTTTGCATTACTAACATTTAGATGATGTTTTAATTCATTACTTACAAAATATAATAGTTACTGTAGTTAGATATATTAAATACTATATTTTTAATTAAATTAAAAATAATTACTAATGATTATATTTGTTGTTTCAGATTTCATTTATATACATCATCTGGTTTATTAGAAATAATATCACCACCTTCTAATTATTATCCTGATTTTAATAAGTTACGTCAAACTTTAGGTGATGATATGGCAAGAGTAAAGTAAGTAAACTAAATCATGTGTATATATATTTTTTATGTGATTATTATAAATTTGTCAAAAAATATTGGTATATGTTAAAACAGACTATTTCAATAAAGTTATATTTCACTTTGATTGTCTGTAATAAAAAATAACTATTAAAATTTTTTATGATGCCACCTAATAATTAAAGAAAGGAGAATAACAAATAAAAACATACTTGAGTTTGAAAATACAATCATACATCATTACTAATTCTGATGTTTCTGAGAATGATTTGGACATCAGGAAGAGTTTTTCATAATTTCTTATTGGAAAAATGCTAACTAATTCTCATTTCATCCAAATAACCTCAGCCAATTTTCCTAAATGACATTAAAATACTGCCAAACTATATTCATAAATTGTTGATTTTAGCACGATGTTAAACTTATGAGGTTTCCCTCCTTTTATTATGGAGCATGAGTAGTTGCCTATGCAAACCTCACTTAACTTTTGATGTCCCTTTGTGAAAGATGAATGTTACCTGAGTCCTGACAGTGGGTGGCTATGCACACACTTCAGTTAATAATCTATTTATTTTCTCTAATCAAATGGAAGATTATTCTTTTAAAGATTTTTTGGCTGTAAATATTTTGGTAATCTTTAACAGCTATTTTCTTGCTATTAGAATGTTTTTACTATAGAATTATGCAATGTAAACTAGAGAACAAAATGTTTACACATTTTGAACATTAATGTTATCTGAATTAATTAGTCTATATTGCAATATATTATCATTAATTAATATGAAGAATAATTTTTAAAAATTAAATTGTAGATGGAGAACTAAACAGAATTTAGATTTTGCATATTTGATGATGTATGCTCAACCAAGAGGAACTTTTTATGTTCAGGTTAGTATAAAAATTTAATTTTCATAATTTTTTCTTAACATTTACACATGTATGTATTTAAGTTATAGAAATCTTCATTTTTTACATAGATTTTTTAATGTAGTCTTTATAATTCAATTTTTGTATTTATACTTTATGTAAACTTATGTAAAAAATGAAAATTTCTATAATTAGTATAACAACACATCATGAAAAGTTAATTTTAAAATGGAAAAATAAATTATTATTATTAAAATGTGAGAACCGAAGGGGTTAGTTGTCCCCGCTTACAGGCGGCTCTGTCAGAGGATGGCTTTATAGGAGGTCAATGAGTAAGTCGACAGGTTTCCAAATAAATACACAGGTTGAACAAGAATAACACATTTAATAAACAACTATAAAATTGTACATATCAAAGGCGAAGGTGAATAGCAACAAAAATTCTGTTCTATGTCGCGACAATGTTTCATCTTTCTTATGGAACATCTAAGTTCTATTCTCTAAGTTAAATTAAGAGACAAGAGAGAGAGACCTCTCAGAGAGAGAGTATACAATTAGATTTCTTAAAAATACCTCTAAGTTCCCGATCTATAATATGGGTCATTGGTAAAAATGTTCCTGGATCAGCACAGCAGTTATGGCGAAGTGCCGACGGATAGGGTGGCAGTATGGGTCAGTTGATGTCCCCTGCTGATGTCCGCACGGTGGACTGAGTCCAAGCCCTCTTTATACTATTTTTGAGGGGTGAGAACTGTCAAATAGTTGATGATTTATAAGAACACCTGTCAGCTGTGTCCGATCTAGATCCAGCTGGTATGGAACATCGCCAATGTATTCTTTGGTCAGATCGTAGACATTGGTCTACTAAAGGTGAAATTTTATGATATAAATTCCTACGAATTTGACAGTTCTCTCCCATTAATTATTATATATTTTGACAATATCTTCTCAGATTTGACAATAATCTCTAGATTGTTTATATTAAATATCGCGTTAGTTGATGAGAGAGGCAATTATTATCATGTTGTTTTGGTTATCGTGCAGGTGTCTGCAGATCCGCAGACATGTGCCATGTGCAGCTAAAGGAGGGGTGAGAAACGCCGCTTATTAGTTTCTTTTAAACGTCTGTTCTTGCCTTGTTGATTTTATCATCAATCTAATTTATCAGTATAGACTGTGACATTTAACCTGAGGAAAGAGTTTTGATCATTGATTGTAGACTATCCCTTTTTTTCTGTAGAATTATTAGGATTAGGAGGAGAACGATACTGATTTAAACAGTATCGGGAGGATAAAAAAAATGGGGGGAGAGCAGAATATCACAAAAATTATATAATTTTAAAATTCTAAAATTAATTTATATATAATGTAGAAAAGGATTGTTATATAAATTTAGATTATATTATCAGTTTTCAGTTTCCTTGTATATTATGTATTAGATTTCTGTAGTTAGCTTTTTAATGAATTCAGTGTATATTTTAATAGTGTGACAACTGAATCAGACTATTTTCTCACAATTGTCTGAGTGTCATTAAATATAAAAGGATTTCTATATGATAGTTATTATTACAGTAGAGCATCGATTATCCGACACATCGGTTAACCGACTGTTCTAGTTGGCAAATTTCAAGTGTCCGTTAGTGATGTGGCACTACAATATTTGGCTATGTCTTGGCTACTTTAATATTGTTTTTGTTAAATTTTTGCATGTTTTAGCTGACAACACTGGCTCGACCATGAAAGGGAGGCCAGTATTTAAATAAGATTTAATTTTCTATTTATGAGTGGCTGTTTGTTTTGTGAGCAATAAAATAATTTTAAAATATTTTTTAACAATACAATAGCAACGATTATTATTTTAAAAAAAATTTTGTTAGGCTTAACATTGATGAAAATTCAATGTGAAGTATGTTAATAGCGATATACTAATATACTATACTAATAATGTATTTTTTCATTCTTTTCGATTATCCAATTTTTTCAGTTATCCGACCAACCCGAGTCCCCAATTGAGTCGGATAATCGATGCTCTACTGTATTAGTACACACACACAGCCTATCAGATGTTATTTGCTGATATGACCTGTAAACATCATGTTTTCCTGAGACTGGAATATTTAGACGTTTGTTTAAGATATAGCTGTTCCAAAGTAGGGCTGCATTTTGCAGCATATAGCTGTTGATTCTATACAGCTTTTAATTCTTCAAATGATTATCTAGGTTCCTTAGAATGACTCCTAGTGTTCCTACTACAGTTTGATCTATAACTATCTTTCTTTTTCCAGTCATTCAAATTTGATTTGCAGATGCTTATACTTAATGACTTACTAATTGTTTTCCTTTGACCCTGCTGTCACTCAAGACTACCACTCTATAATCCTTATCTTTATTTTCTGTTAATGTAATGTCTGGGATCTATGAGCCAGATGTTTATCTGCCTGGATTTGAAAATTGCAGTAATTTTTTCCATTTCTGTGATCATATCAAGTTAAGCTATATGTATTTTTGCAAAGATTTCAGTGAATCATTGCTGTGTTTGTTGTTTGAGATATTTTTAAGTTGTGTATAATATAGCATTAATATTTTGGTTAGTATGTTTGATTGAGCTGAAATTTGAATAAATTGTAAATATATAAATTCCCACTGTTATCTGTCTGTCCTTTCTTAATCTTGAGAACAGTGTTAGATAATGAAATTTAAGACCAGATATGGAAAGCTTAGGGGAAGGAGGTCTCAATTAACTATATGCGAACTTCTGATGCAAACTGGAAATCACGTTATTTCAATTAAAAAATTTTCCTCTGAAAGGAGTTAGTACTGTAGTGTCTTGCTCCTGTACATCACACCTCAAATTAGTTAGATAAACAGCTTGATTCCAGTCAAGCTGTTTATCTAATTAATTTGAGGTGGAGAGTATATATTTTAAATGAAATAAATTAAAATATAATTAAAAATTGCAGCCTGGCATTGTGACAATGCCAAATAAATAATTGCTTATTTAAACTGTAGAAATTAAAAAATGTGTGTTAAAACTTTCATAAAATCATGATTTTTAAAAAATAGTTTATTTCTAAGCAGGATAATAATTTGCTTAGAAAACTTGAAATTCTCAATTTTGTTATGAAAAATTACAAAATTTTAAACTTTTACAGGTTGAATGCAATAAGAATGATGGCTGTAGACTAATCATTGATATAAAAATTACCAAACCATGCTGATTGATATTCAGGAGTGCCTCATACTTTGAATTTAATTCATTCCAGGAGGTCGTTCAAAGTCCGATGCAATTTTTCCTGTTAAAAATAACAGAAAGTGAATTAATCCCTTTCCAGACCTTAAACAATACCCATTTTGATAAACTTGAACCAGAAAATACACATAATTTAAGATAAAAATAACACAATTAATGCCCTAATAATAAATTAAAACATGAAAACAATAAATAAAATACATAAATAATAAAATAATATATAATAAAATGCATTTACTGGTTCCAATCCATCAACTTTGGCAACTTAAACATGGCTTCCAGATCTGCAACACATACCGCTTTCATGCTTTGCAATAAGTTCCTTTTTCATCTTAGTCTTTTTCAAGCCTTTCTCTTACTAGTTAGACTTTGTTGTTTCCACTCACTTCTTGGATGTCATGATTAATAAATAAAGATGATATTGGGTTGAACTGAAACTCTGTATTTTTAACTGTTAAAAATGACACATAACTGTCATTACTTAATATAAATGTGTGATGATTTAATTATAACAGTTGTGAATTTAAACATACTATTGCTAATTTGAGATTATATTCTTTGTTCAGAAGATTATTTTACAATTGGAGTACATTTTTTGTTGTATGCACAGTTTGAATATTGAACCATCATTCAAACTCCAAAGCAAATTTTTGTTTGAAACTCTGCAGCACTCAAAGTACAAGGTACCACCATACTCTATGCAGTCCTCCTTGTATTAATTTGTGATTTTTGCTTTACTTCTTTAAGAACTTCCAAGTTCAGGTATACTTATGGTTCCTTTCCTCTTCTGAAACCAACTGAAAAACCTTTACTCTCTAAGGTACTCATATATTTGAAAATGTATGGCTTTTGGGATGCTTCTGCAATGAAAAAGCTATGCTATACAAATAGGCAGTTTTTATTGTGTTGTCTTTACTACAAATATATGTGAAGTATCTGTTATACTCTGTATTCATGTAAACATCTTTCATGATGAATTTTTTATTCTTTGTGCTATGTTGATATACCTGTTCTGTTGATAATACAGGGAAGATAGTAAGAATCATGCATGCTTGAGCAAACAAGTGATGTACTTGTTCACATTGATGATTAACAACTGAAAATATCATTTTTCTAAGAAATAATTGATACTTTAGATCTATTTACATTTATTGCAAAGTATTTTATTAATGTGATTATTATTTTCATTCTTATGACTTTTTTACTATAACTTTTAAACAACCTATGGGTAAAAAAATAATTATATGTTCATATAACAATAAAGTTAAGATTAATTAATCATTTTGTGAATATTTATAATAATTTCTAAGTTAATACATATTAATACATAACTGCAGAACTATAACAAAGTTCCAAACACTTCAAAAATTCAAACATGCTTTAAAGTTATCTTATGTTAAAAGTGGGAAACGTCTGCATATAGTTAAAATATTCATTATGGAATATATTAAAGGTAATGATATTTTGATTTACATGGATTACAAGAAAATGTATAAATAACAGAAATACACTTGTTGCAAAAAATATATGCACCCATAAAAAAAACTGATCTATAATCATGAAACTCAGCATACAAATGTTGTTTGAATAGTTTAGCATTGAAAGTTTGATCATTTGCATATGATGTTATAGCACTCATTCAACACACATGAGAATGATGCATCATGCAGCATTTAAAAAGACTAATGTTCTCAGTCATGGACAATTTGAACTGGATTTTTTGCTTTGATATTGCAAGTTGTGGTATGAAAATGACTTTGAAACATATGGTACATGACAGTTCTTCAAACAATTGTCTGATTTAGTGAGAGGTTGCATCATAGATCTAAGAAAAGTTGGTTGTCCAACAGACATGTCAGCATGCCATCTTGGTTGGAGTGATATATCAATTGCTTGGTGTTGGCAACAGTGGGTCAGAGAAGGCACATGTAACCAATATAAAACACAGGATACCCCACGCAGACAACTGCTTGAGAGGATTATACAGTGAGGAGAGGAATTACATCCACATTAATGGCATTGCTATCAGCACTTGCCATCTTCCATGCATCCTGTATCAAGGGATACCATTTGGAGATGTTCGGCAGAAGATGGAATTAGATGTGATCATCCATTAAGGCACTTACCACTAATTTCACAACATGGGCAGAGCTGTCTGCATTCTGATGTCTTGTGTATTGGCTGCATTCTGCAGCCAATTGTTCTGCCTATGCTGTCAAGCTACCCAGGTGTAATTTACCAACAAGACCATGCTTGACTAGATACTGACTTTGTCAACAATGTCTTTGAGAATTTAATGCCTTCCTATGGTCATCCAGGTCTCAGACCTATCACCAATAAAAAACATCTGGGACATACTGGGATGGCAATTGCAGCTGTCTCAGAATAACAATAAATTAGCTAACCAGCTGCAAAATTTATAGCAGAATCTTCTGCAGAAGACATAAGCAACTTAATTGACTTATGCCGTACCAAATTTTGTCTTATATAGCTGCTAGGGGAGGATTTACCACTTACTAAAATGTCATCTTGTTGCTGTCATTTCTTATAAAACATCTTTTTTGGTTCCGAATTCGTGCATATCTTCAAATAATACATACATGCAAAGTTTTGTGACTGTAGCTCAATTTTTTGCAATAGATGTTATAAACTTGGATAGGAACAGAACTTTGCAATATATGAAGTTCATAAAAAATTTTAAAATTATACATAAAAACCTTTCACACTTTTTATTTTTTAAAAATTTATTAATTTGCTTTAATTTTTTATCTGTAGTTGGAAGATGATATTTTAAGCAAACCAGGATACATAGGAATTATGAAAAATTATGCTTATAAACAACTTACTCTAAAAAAAGAATGGCTTATACTAGATTTTTGTCAACTAGGATTTATAGGTAAGTTAAGTTTAAAGCTTAGATTTAATTGCTTTATTATTTATGGCATAAAAATTTTAAAAGAATAATAATCAATCAATAAATGTTAAATAAAAAAATATTATTCTTTATAATAAATATAAAAGCAGTGTTGATAACAGTTTTTTTTTTGTTTTGTATATTAGCTCACTTAATTAATTATCTAAATAAACCTAAATAAAATCTTTTATTTTGTTTACAGATTGGTTTTGTGTGTGCTATGAAATTCCAAATATTAAATAATTTCTCTACAATTTTATTTGTTTTTTAATGTTAAATTTTCAAATTTTTAAGGTATGTACTGTACATGGTGTCTCAAAAAAATGTACTCCCTCTTTATCAGTGTAATACTCATATGTTTTTAATGCCACAAAACCAGCAGCAATCAATCAGTTAAAAGAAGAAATTGGAAGGCAATGTCTTGCAATTTCCAATGAAATGTTTTACAATGTTGTCAAATCCATTGGTCCATGTTATCAGCTGTGTTTGGAAAATGGTGGAAACCGGTTTGAACATTTGCAAACATGCAGGAATGAGTAAACTAGGCTAGGAGAAAATACTAATGTTTTCTGTAATGCTAATAAATTATCTTTAATATAACTTAATTAATTTAATTAATAGATTTGTATATATGTCAATAAACACCTAAATCAAAACTTAGTATATTAGTAATGGTCAGTCAAAGAGTGAGTACATTTTTTTCGGGACATCCTGTATATATTAATTGATTATCAGGCTTTGGATAACTTCATAAAAGTACAATAGATATAAGTAAAAAAAAAAAACCAAATTCTGCAAAAAATATATAGAAATTACTTGGGATGTAGCATATTTAATAAATTTGTATAATAATTTATCAAACATAGCAGAGCTGTAAGAAAATTATAAAAAAAGTACAATAAATTAGAATGGAAAAAATATTTTACTAAATAAAAGCATTTCAAAATCAACTTATTCTAATGTATCACAAAACAAATTGTATCAGTAATATTTTTCAGTAGGTACTAGTAAATAAACAATAAAAATCATTAGGAGCAACAGGCTAAAGTGACAATCAATAGCTTATTTGAATAAAACATTTATAAATTGGCAGATGTGCAATTTTAATAGAAATCTTTCTGATTCTAAAATTCTTCATTAGATGGAAATAAAAAAAAAATAAAGTTACTTTCTGTGAAAGATAGATAAATAATTACTGGAAAAAACTATTGAAAATTATCAATGGTGTTTAGTATTAATGAACTGAAGAAAAACAATCCAGCACTCACAAGAACAGCATTTAATGTACAGTTTCATATTTCTTTAGACATTGAATTAAAGTTCTAATTGAGTGCTTTAATTAGATTCAAATAAAAACAAGACAAAAAAAAGAAACAAGTTTACATAAAATATAAAATCCTATGAACACTCTGTACATTTGTTTTAATGTTAGCTATAATTTTGTATTAGTGACATAATATAAAACTTTTAAAACAGCAAATTGCATGACTCATTCAAAATGTCTCTTCCTAGTGGTTGAATTTTAATTTTCTTTTCTATTATTTATTTAATTTTTTATTTTTCTGTATTTCTGTATCCATCTTTGTAAGATTAAGTGCTAAATCAAGCAGTTCATTAATCATCTCCATAGGTATAATACTGTAATTTATTTTTAATAAGTTATAATTTCATTTTTTGTTTTTTCCTAAAATGTTTTTGCTTTTTGAACCTTTTATTCCAACCTAGGTACAAATTATTTAAATCAGTTTTTTTGCCATAAATAGGAGCTATTGGGACTATATATTTTTTAAAAATCTAATCAAAAGTACTTTTAAAAAGTATTTATATTGCATATATCACAAGTATGAACTAAAGTGGATTTCTGTTCATTTTTTAAATTAAAATATAAACATTGTTCTGTCATTATCAAATATTGATTGATTACAAACAAATAATTTGTTCTCATATCAGTTAAACTCCAGCCTTTTAAAGTATTGTAAGTAGCTGTGACTTGCTCTTTACTAGTAAATGTATTAAGCTTTATTATAGATAATCTTTTCAATGTTCATGACTTCTTGCATTATGTAAAACTGAATTCTGAAATACTTAATTGACATTAATATTCCTTGTTTTTTTATATAGTAAACATGTGCCTACATATATTTTTATATAATTTTTTAAATATTTATTTAAAAAACTTTTTTAGTGTTTTTAAAGATTAATATTTTAAATAATATAACTTTGCAATATATGAAGTTCATAAAAAATTTTAAAATTATACATAAAAACCTTTCACACTTTTTATTTTTTAAAAATTTATTAATTTGCTTTAATTTTTTATCTGTAGTTGGAAGATGATATTTTAAGCAAACCAGGATACATAGGAATTATGAAAAATTATGCTTATAAACAACTTACTCTAAAAAAAGAATGGCTTATACTAGATTTTTGTCAACTAGGATTTATAGGTAAGTTAAGTTTAAAGCTTAGATTTAATTGCTTTATTATTTATGGCATAAAAATTTTAAAAGAATAATAATCAATCAATAAATGTTAAATAAAAAAATATTATTCTTTATAATAAATATAAAAGCAGTGTTGATAACAGTTTTTTTTTTGTTTTGTATATTAGCTCACTTAATTAATTATCTAAATAAACCTAAATAAAATCTTTTATTTTGTTTACAGATTGGTTTTGTGTGTGCTATGAAATTCCAAATATTAAATAATTTCTCTACAATTTTATTTGTTTTTTAATGTTAAATTTTCAAATTTTTAAGGTATGTACTGTACATGGTGTCTCAAAAAAATGTACTCCCTCTTTATCAGTGTAATACTCATATGTTTTTAATGCCACAAAACCAGCAGCAATCAATCAGTTAAAAGAAGAAATTGGAAGGCAATGTCTNTGTTGCTATATATGTAATTTTTGATGTATTTTTAAATGATATATTTTTGTTGTTTAAATGAATTAATATGCAACAGAATTAATGATCATATATATTTACATACACCAACAATTAAGTGCTTTTAACATTTTGTGTTTTAAATGAATATGGAAAGTATTAAGATATTAACTAATAACTAATGTCAGTAATTAATCAGTATTTTTGATTTTAAGCATTAAAATTTTTATGGTTTTTGTTTTAAAAGTATACATAAAATAATCTTTGAAAATAATCTTCAAAAATATTTTTTTAATTGGCTTATCATCAGTGAATGTTTTTAACTGTTTTGCATAATTCAGCATAGGCATAGTCTACAATAAAAGACTGTTATTGTTTTCTGATAATTGGATATGGCAGAAAGATGATGATCTAGTTTCTTTTGAATTTTTGTTTTTTAACACCACATATCGTCCAATTCAATTCAGAAGCAAATTTATGCAAATTTATTTTTACTTACTCTTACTTATTTTGTAATGGTATATTCTGGTAGGAATGACACTCCTTAGTCTATTATAATTTTTGAAGATTATTTACATTATGCATAAACTAATTTTTTTTTTTTTTTGCCTTTTACTCTGTCCAATGTTTTGAGAGAGATTCAATTCTTTTATTATAAAAAGTTACAAAGATGGTACCAAGTTTTGTAAATAAAGAAATTACTGTTTGTTTCAAGAAGCCAACATTTATTAAATAAATGTTTTTGGTCATGATCTAATCATCTTCAGTTTAAAATATTGCAGCATAGGATACTGTATATACATTAGAACAAATTTATAGTAGTTAAAATAGAACAGAATTTTAAAAAATACAAGAGAGTACATGAAGTAAAAATTAAATTAAACAAAGATTCCTTTATTATAACCTTATTGAATAAATGTCATTTTGATATTGTGAAAAACTGGTTTTCATTTTTATATTTCACAAAATGTTCTTATTCAAATAAACAAATATCAAAAAAAAACTTTACTCAAAGACTATAGCTTTGAACTGTTTATAGTTTTATATCTAACTTAACAGTCATCCTGTTATTTTGTTCTACATACTATTTATATAAAATGGAATTAAATATTTGAATAATATGATCAAATGCACCTGAAAAGTAGGCGGNAAAAAAAAACTTTACTCAAAGACTATAGCTTTGAACTGTTTATAGTTTTATATCTAACTTAACAGTCATCCTGTTATTTTGTTCTACATACTATTTATATAAAATGGAATTAAATATTTGAATAATATGATCAAATGCACCTGAAATGTAGGCGGTCAAAATTTGTAAATAAATTGTCCCACAAAAACTGTTTCTACAAAATAAATATTATGCTTCATAATATTTTCTGGTTAGTACTAAATAATCATAATCATAAGCTTTATCATCATCACTATTATTATGATTGTTAGGTTTAGTGAGTTATACTCAGTTGACACCGGTGGCTGTGTACTATGCTGGACCAGAGTCAAGGCATAGTAACCAAAACAAGACAAAAATAAGTGTCAGAGTGTGTGTCAGTATTCAGGAATTTCCTAACAGTATGGCATGTATTCAATATAGTGGCCTTCTGTATTGTGATGTATGTGTTTCTATTCAATTGTAATGTTCCCAGGCTTTTGTATAGTGTGTGTGGTATCACACCTGTTCAGGAGAGAACAACAGGACAAGAAACACCCTATTCATCCTTCACAGATCCTGGTCAAGTTCCATGTACTTGCTGATTTTTTCAGTGCATGTGTTTTGTACATTGTGAGTGTTTGGAATGGAAATACAGTAGATCCCCCTATAAAACCGTTTCCTATAGTTATGATTCCTATAAAAATTGTGGCAGTACAGTAGATCCCCCTATAAAACCGTTTCCTATAGTTATGATTCCTATAAAAATTGTGGCAGTATCCGTAAACAACGGTAAAAATAACTCCTATAATACGTAAAACGTCATCGGGCAGCCGAACTACTTTCCCGCCGTCCGTTGCGCCACGCTATGGACGTTTAGGCGGATAAATTGAGTTTAGTATCGTCTGTTCATATAATTATATATAAATTAGGTACTGTACATATAATTATATATTAATTATATATAAATTAGGTACTGTATATATAATTATATATTAACTTAATTTATTGTAACTTTATTATAATTAAATATATATTTTTCGCCGTCTAGCGTCACGCTACGGCGAGTTAGGCGACCTATCGTCTGTTTAGTACTGTAATTTTATACATTTCTTGTGAAAGAAACATTTCTTATTTAACGGCCATAAAAATTATTTATATTAATGATGTCTCCAAAGGTCAACGAAGTTTTCGCAGAAAAATAATATCAGAAATCGCGGCCGCAATTTGATGCGCTGTTCCGCGACGAAACCAAGCTTTAGCAACGGGCGTAGTCGAACGGTACACACTCGGTAAGCAATCCTACAATTTTTTGTTTATAACGTAGTTTATACGGATTATTTT